ATGTGTTCCCTGTTAACAGAAGTATCCAATGTCTGCTGTGCCCTCCAGAACAAAAATGAGTCAGTGGAGATTCTTTGGGAAATAGAAAAGCAGAGCATGTAATTTTAAATCCATCAATTCTGAATTATCCTTTGTTGTCAAAAGAATTGCAGCCAGGATTAGTTGTCTGTGGGGTTTTTGTCATGTTTTTGGTACTTTAGAAGTCGTATGAAAGGTGAGCAGGGACATTGTCTCAAAGTATAAGTTATTTCTATGGTGGGCTGCCTGTGCTGGAAGGTTTTCAAGGAARTAAAAAGAGGCTTGAGCTACTGTCCGTGGAAGATTTATGTGACGTGTTTTCAGAGGCTTTTCTGAGCTGGTTGTCTCAGGGTTGGAATTTCCTCCTCCCTGCCCCCTGTCCTTGTCCTGGATGTGCACACGAAGGAAAGCTTTCATTGCCATGCTCTTCAGGGGATAAGCAGGACAATCTGAACTCATCCCTTCCCTTKGGGAGCCAGTAAATGGTCAGTAAAAGAGATGACCAGCTGGGGAGCAGCTGATTTACAGCAGGAAGCTGAGAGTAATTGCCTAAGCAAGAGCCAGGAGCTCTCACTAATTAAGCTGTCCCTGGAACTGCAGGAAAGASTGGAGATCGCTGGGGATGCTGCTTTACCTTGGCTTTGTGGTGCTGGAGCTGCTGTAAACAGCAGAGCTTAAAAGGGGAGGTGGGGAGGAGGGATGGGCATGACTCACGGCATCCTTTTATATTTATCCAGTGGAGGTGTATGAATGTTGTTCTTCATTTCGTAGGGATGAGTAAGTAGGTAATGTATGTGWCTTAATCTTCTTAGCTGATAGAAAAAGAGCCCCAAAGTCATCTCCCGGGGTAAGTTAAATCCAAGGTCTCAAATGTCCACATGTTAACAAAGCAGGAAGTAGAACTGTTACTCTAAATTAAAGAAATAAAAGTAATAAAATATACCCCGAGCTTGGGGGAAAGACATGTAAAATAAAGAGGTATTTAGTGCTCATCTTGTATTTCTTAATGGAGCTCTCCTGTGGATGGAGTAAAAGCTATAAAAAGCATGGTCTTTTTATAAACACCAAATTCCACTTGCTTTAGTCAGCCAGCAGTCCATGGTTTGTCCCTACCTGTGGAAATCAAGTCAGGGGAGAGATTGGGCCATAGAAATGTTATCTGGCACCTTACCTCAATTTTGTCTAGACTTTGTGCTTGAAGATACGAAGGCTGCAGCCAGTCTGTAATGGAGGTGATCTCAAGAGCAGGTGCTGGTGGGAAACTAAAAATAGGAATTAATGTGGGAGAGTTGAAGCTGTGTGTTACAAATGGTGAAAAGGAGATGCTYGTGTGCCTCTGCAGGTCCTACTTGTGCAGCCGTGCATTTCCAGTGAGGCTGGGGAAGGTGATCTGGGATTTTTATTTATAGTGGTGCCCAGGAGGCCAGACAGCCCCCAGTGTGTGATATAAATGTTGGGGAATGTYGGTGTGTGTTGTACCTCAGAGGAAAAGAGCGGGGAGAGGGGAAATCTGAGAGAAGCTGGGCTGGTGAGGTATGTACCTCCTTAAATTAGTACCCTGCTGCTGGAAAGAGGGATGTAAGGCTTCAAAAATAAGTGAGACCTCCTGCTTGGATTATAATGCAGTCCTTCAGGAAAGAATTTTAAGGAGCTGGGAGWTTTCTGAATTCTTACACGGTGTTACTATACACCACAAAATGGCTTTTCAAAAATTYCTTCATTTTTGGTGGATTCTGGTAAGGACCAAGAGGATATGGGCCACAGGGATCTTTTTCCTGAAGCAGCRCTGTATCATTGACCCACATCTCCCCTCCCCTACCCCTCCACTCCAGGGAGGGAAGGCAAAATAAAAATGAAGTTTTATGGGATCTGCAACAGGATTGATGCCTTCAGCTTTTCTAAGAATTCATAATCTTTTTATAATACTCAATTCTGGAAGTGGGCAGAAGAGTCAATACACTGTTCTGTGYTGTGGGTTCTGCTGCAGAAAATAACTCAGGGTGCATGTAATAATGCTGTAAAATGTACAGACTTGGAGATTTTTGTTTTCTAATTGCTTAAAATAGTTTAATGAAAAATCTTCTCTGTGCAAGGTATGATTTGTGTTCCATAGACACTTCTGAGTTGAAGTTCTGATAAATTCTTAGGCTGGTGGTCTTCTAGGGTCTGAATATTTCGAGTTCTGCGATTCCTTRTATGAATCATGGCAATTCCATTAATGCTTTTTTGGTCTGTCTAGAATTGTCAGGAAGGGTATCATGGTGGTGGTTTTGTCGTGTGTTCAGTCCCTTTAGTAACTCTATGCAAGGCACAAATTGATTTTTTTTTTTGTGTGCATAGCAAATTGTGTCTCATTAATGAAGGCTGAATAGAAATGCTATTAATTTACAGGGGAATCTTGCCAAGGTGTAATGTGGTGGAAGCAGGCTTTTAAAACTGGAAAACAGTTGYATGATGCTGTGTTAGATTTCAATTTATTAGAAAGTTAGAGGGGTTGTTTTTGTCTCTTATTCTTCAATAGCATCAGTCTGGTAGAGGTCAGTAATCCCATGAGGAATTTTAAACTAATCTGAAGAAAACAGCTAGTATAGAATTTAAGGTTTTAGATTAATGCTAGTTTATGCTGTATTTTCATTAGAGCACAGAGGAGCTGCAAATAAGATCATTTTATAGGCTATAAATTAACCAGTAGTATCTTGGAATAGAAAATCTGTATTAATTTAGGTTTGGGGGTTTTTTTTCTTCTGTGAGCATTGGTTTATTGACAAATAAAAAAAAGCTTCTCAGTTTTGTCTTTTGCCCTGGAAAAAAAAAAAAACCTCAAGTACTGGAATAGTTCAGCTTTAGCTAATTGTATGTTCATAATGGAGCATTATGAACATCCTTCTTTCATTTTCCTTAAAAGGTTTTCTGAAACATAGATTCTCTTATAGGGKGAAAGTACTTTGAAAATTCAGTTGGTTTTGTTCAAGGATTCTTAATCAATCCGTATCTTGTTTCAAAAACAAGTTTTCCTTGTTTCATTTTCTTCACATCTGCAGAGAACACAGCTTTAAGTCTGCTCAGACAGGAAGCCAGGCACCAATATTTGCTTTTTTTAGGCACAGGACTTTTCTGGGCTTCATAAACGGTTGATAGGAAGCCTAAAGGGTGTCCTAGAAATGCTGGCTGATTTTGTTGAGGGACTACCTGGCACAAGTCAGGCAATGCTGGTAAATGGCAATTTTTATATTCATTTTAATGAAAACAAGGTGTGATGCCAAGTTCTGCCAGATTAGAAGTATAATTTTGAGAACAGCTACCCTTAAGCGTTTATAGGGAGACGTTGCTTCAGTGTGAAGTGATCCCAAGAGCCACAATTGAATTACTGATAAATGTTTGTTACAATAATTACATTGTCCTGAGTGCTCAAGTGTTTATTTTTGTGTTCCTTATAGTTATAACTKGGTTATAGAACTTGGCTTAGGTCTRTGATACTTAAATTGTGAGGAACACTCCAAGAAAATTTAGATTACCTCAGTAAATTTTGTTACTTTATTGAAGAACAAACCTTTGCATTTTTAAACCATTGTTGCTGGTAATAGACTTTTTAAAAACAGTTCTGAAARTGGKCAAACCAAAATTTTGCTTGTATTCTAATTGGTCATATAAAATCACAGCTGTAAATAGAAGTCTACATGTTTGTATATTGATCCACCCCCAAAAAGTATGGAGATCTGAGTCCCCAAAATAATTACTGATTCTCCCCCAAAACAACACTTGATACACCACAGCAAAACATGAGAGAGTTTATCAATAGCTCACTATAAATAATTATCAGTTTCTTTCTCATTGTATATGTACATAAATATTACCATTAACTAACCTTAAAAAAGTATGAAAAGAATTTAAAGAAATACTAAAATGAAACTTCCATATTACGTGGTTAAAGCTGGAAAAGTTGGAAAATTGTGAAAARTGTGAAGTGTTTAAACCTTCTATGTCTCATGCTAGTATTTTTGGATCTGTACTATTTCTGAATTTTGTGACAAAATGTATAGACTGAATCATTTCTTTCCTGCCCTGGGAAAGATTGGCATCAACCTGATTTTTATCATTTTTAGATTAGTATGTAAATCTATTTTTGGTCTTTCAAGGCTGACTCTTAAGGTAAAATGACCGTCCCATAAAATAAAAGGAAGCAAATCCTGTGATACAATAGGTTGCAGTAAGGCAGAGCCMTAAAAGGTGAAGCAGGCAAAATGGCAATAGGTGGGCAGAATGCAGCTTTTTGTTTTATCTTTTTTAAGCAAAAAAATTCAGAAAACTCCAAACCAGAAGSCAGAATAAAAAAAAAAAAAGCCAGACAGCCTTAGACATCGGTACCATGTCAGCGGGTGTTCACGTCTCTGTTGGTGCACATACAATTTCATTTTGTCTATTTGGTGTATAGGAATGAAAAGATGTCTGCTTGTAGACATGGTTAGACATGAAATTATTTTGTAGGAGAAAAGAAAAATGTGAACAATGTTCCTTAAAGTTTTTTTTTTTTAATTGGATTTGCCTGAGCATGATATGATAAAGWGCATTGGGCAGTTGAGCTCCTGACAAAGATCCTTTCTTGGCCATGAGAGGCAGTGTCAAAGGAGGAAGTGTAACCCCAGTGCTRCCTCAATTTTGTGCATGTTGTGAAGAAAAACCTTGATTTTTCAGTGATCTTGTAAAAGTTAGTCTTGATACTCATCTGCTATTTTTTGCCACTTGTAACTTTACACTTGGGCTATTAGATATGCTAAATATATTCTTCAAAGWAGTATGAAAGTCCTATCTAAAAATTTGGTGGTGGGGGTGGTGTGGGGAGCAGCTATGCTTCACTTACCCTTCYGCAGAAACTTCTTTAAGCCACTGGTTGAAACTGCTCAAAATGTCATGGTTAGGCACGGACCAGTCTTAAAATTAGCAACAAGGAACTTTGCTAAACTCCTGTGTTTTTTGTTGTGCAGTGTGATGTCCAGGGTCAGAAATGCCTTATGTGGATCGCCAGAATCGCATCTGTGGTTTCCTAGACATTGAGGAAAATGAGAATAGTGGGAAATTCCTGCGGCGGTACTTCATTCTGGACACACGAGAGGACAGTCTGGTGTGGTACATGGATAACCCACAGGTGAGGTGTTCTTGGCACAGCTTCCTGGTTTCTGTCAGTTTTGGGTTTTCTAACGAATTTGCAAAAGGAAAGTGGGGTTTAGTTTTATGGATGTGAAAGCCAGAGGAAAAAACCATTGACATAAGTGAAATAATTGTAAATCAGTTTGATATAACAAGATGAGCCAAACCCTGTACCAGTTCACTAYCCAGGTGTTGAATTCACCTTTAACCTCACCTGGCAGTGTGTGGTTTTCCTTGCATTATATATTCCTTGCCCTCAACAGAATCAGTCAGGAAAAGCAATTTCTAACGATGCCTGCAATTGCAATCCAGCATGAATGGTATAWGAATGAGGACAGCTTGTATCCATCRTGATGGAGAGCAGCCTTTAGATAAAAGCTACTTCTACAATGTATTTTCATCCCTTTTTTAGCAGAGGGAAGAGCAGATAATTGCTCAAGGTTTGGGCACAGAGACAGTGACAGCATAGGATGCAGGTCAGCTGCCAGCTGCCTGCCAGAATAATATCCATGAACCCTTCTGCCAGGAGCAGCAGAGTTAAAAAGCATAGCTCTGCTGTTCAAAGGAACCAGCAAAAACAAAATGTAAATGATGTGCAGCTCGATGGATGTGACTTGTGACTGAAGCATTTAGCAGTTCTCACTGAGGAGAAAAAGAATTTCTGGAAATAAGACAGACTTCAAACATTTGATCTCGAGTGAAACGAAGCAATTCAGGGCATGTGGACAAAATCTTGAAGTGCTGTAGGAATTGCAGTTCCTCAGAAGTTTTAAGACTTAATGATATTTGCAGTGCACACCCAGACCTCAGTTAGGCCTTTTATTTTACATGTACAAATGAAAGGGTTTCTTGCAAGAGGCAAGTTGAAATTTCTTTATTTTCTTCCACTGCTTTAGTTCTGAAGAACTGCTTTAGTTTTTATAACTATGTAAAGACCATTCTAAACCCCTGAAATGACTGGAAAATATGTGAGGTGGCCTTTGAAGTATCTGACATAATAAATGAATGTCACTTCTTGTCCCTTCCGGCCTGCCCTGGTCAAAGTACATGAGACTCCAACATCTGTTAAGGAAAAAGTATTCTTTCCGGATTTCCTGGATGCAGACCCACAAGAATCCTTTTTCCTTTAGTAAAATACATAACCCCCTGAAACAATTACTATTTGTATTGTTTCTAGCAGTCTTTCTGTTTTYAGTTGATTAACAGATGTGTGTATAATAAACAAGTAGTTTAGWTCCTGTTTCAAGCATACATTGTGCATTGTCTATAAAAATATGTAGGATTTTGTTTTTGTATGTGGAATTACTTGCTTTTTATGGATAAACACTGACTGTGRCATGGGAATAAACTAGATTCACTTGTGATTTGTTTCAGAATCTTCCCTCTGGATCTCCACCTGTTGGGGTCATTAAACTTACCTATATTTCAAAGGTAAGGTAATTAATGTGTGAGACACTTGTTAAATTCTTGGTGGTAACTACCAAGGGCCTCAACTCCAGACAAATTTAATTGCCATTTACTCCTTGTGCTTGTGTGATGCTCCTGAATTAGAGAGGTGTTAAAACACTTCAATAGGTTSAGGTTAAAAGAAGAACAGATTAATTACTGCGTTGTCTAGATTTGTTTAGTGATTTCAAATGGCAGCTGTTTGTACTCCTGGAATTGACATTTTTGAACTGTAGGTTTCAGTTCTTTTTATGAGTACTTGAGTTCTCATTAGTCTTGGAGAAAAGACAGACCAATTATGAAGTGGAAGATAAGTCCTTGAGTATGACAGCTTGCAAGTAATAATGATATTTAATAGGATAGAAAAATGTCTAGAAAATATTAGGTCTTTACACTGTATACAGTCAGTTCTAAATATGTCTGAAAGAGAACTGTGAACTAAGAAGGTTTTCGTGGTTAAATTTGCAGCAGATACTGTGTWAAGAAATAAATGGAGAAAAATAATTGCCCTTTTMTTGTTTTTCTGCTCATTTTTYATTCTTCCTTTGCATTTTTTGTTGTCAGTATTGCATCTTCCCACCTTCCTCATTTGTCTTTCATTTTTGTTTTTCATTCTGTTTATCGTTGTGCMTGACCTGCTTTCTGTGCTGCTAATCTTTGAATTGCCCACTTGAAGGAGAATAAAACTTGTGATAATCTGATGTATATTTTGTGACRTTGATAATCTTCATTTCCCTCCTAGGTTAGCGATGCAACTAAGCTGAGGCCAAAGGCAGAGTTCTGTTTTGGTAAGTTCTGGCATGTGCTGTGTRCATCAAATGCCTTCTTCAAAAATCTGGAACAAAAATAGTGCTCTGCAGTGCTGGTACCAGCTACAGCTGGTAGTGTATTTTTCAAAAATAGCTTGTATTCACTGTTTCTTCTCTAGTGTGATTGAAATGTTGGCTTCTCCCTAAGTTGTTTTTGTGTTTTTTCGTATTGCAGCCTAATGAGGAGTAGGTGAGAGCTGTTTTTCAGATGTCTGAAATGTTTGARGCATTAATAAGCAATGAAGCTTGTTTTCAGAAACGTGGCATGCCTGTCAGCTGTGAAGACAAGAAATTTAACTATTGAAATCTSTTTTACTGATAAAAGAGTAGATTTAATTGATCTAAAAATACCATCAGCCACTGCTCTTAAGTCAGATTTCAGCCTCTGTTGCTGCACCAAAGAAAAATAATTTTCTTGGGGTGCCTTCTAGGTTTAAACTTTTTTAGATTTTATTGAAGCTTTAGGTAATCATAAAGCTCCTTCTGGTTTTAGACAAGTATCTGGTGTGCCAGTTCAGTGCCATCAGTGCCATTTTTGTCGTTGCGCTGAAATGCGTTTGTCTTTTTTGGATAAAAGATGCCAGGTATTATCAGGTAGAGACATAAAMTTACTAAAATATATTTCTCTGCCAACTTACTAAAGTAAAACAAAGATTTGTGTTCTGTCTGGCTTAAAGTTGCTTGGTTCTGTGTGTCATATACTTTGTAATTGATACTGATATTTCCAGCAATTAAATTTTTTTTAAAAATAGTAAATTGAGTGACCATTGTAGAAGTCCCCCAGGTATAAAACTTGTTGCATGGGGAAAGTGAGAAAGAGGAAATGGAACTGTAGCATATTTTGGTAAAATTCAAGACTTCATTTCTGTGTCATAAAAATAATTTCTCAAGGTTCGTATGAATCCATTTAAGTGGAGAGCTTAAATCACTATTTTTTAAAATAAAGCAATCCTGTCAAGTGGATATATGTTTTAAGTTGGCTTTCTAAAAAGAAACACAGCAGAGCACTTAAATAATATAAATAGACTTTTCATCTGAAATCAGATATTTTCATGATGATATTAAGTTTGCTCTATAATTTCAGTGTTGTTAACTTTTCATAATGGTTTTTAACAGTTATGAATGCAGGGATGAGAAAATACTTTCTACAAGCCAATGATCAGCAGGACCTAGTTGAATGGGTAAATGTTCTGAACAAAGCTACCAAAATCACAGTAAGTGGTTGAGTTGATATTTAGCAGTGCTTTCAAATGGTGACTGTCTCAAGGTGCTTAAATGTAACCTTTGCCTCCAGTTTTTATCACCACAAACAAGGCTTGGCTTGGCTTTTTAATACTTGGAGAAGCTGTACAGAACTCACCCTAAACTTGGGTTTAATTTACTTTTTGGAAATTGGACAAAAATGTGATTATCTTTTTAATTACAGCACAGGATGTTTTCCAATTATTTAAAATTAACTCTGCACATTTAATATAATTTGAAATACCCACAAGACACTTGCAAGCAATGAAGAGATACACATACTGTTGCCTGGTGTCAGAAGCTGGTATTTCTGAAAGTATCACTAAAATAYTGATCARGCACATTTTGCCATGCTTCAAAGAYTCTCTCYTGATTTCCATGCAAAGAAACATTAATGGTTCTTCTGGTAAATGTTAAATAACTTTTCTGGTTAGTACCAGGACAACTAGTTATCTCGTGATAGAAACCCCCACGTGTTATCTCAGTCTTTTCAGGAGGCAGAAGTTATGGTTTTGTTTTCTCCAGTTTTGGGGAAGTGATGACAGTGAATGCTCGTGAGAGCTTACCCTGACAAAGAAGGGTTCTGAGCATGGGTGCACACATTTGTGTTTGTTGTCAGTGACTTTCTCATTTTTAGGTTATCTGAGGATATTTACATGAGTTCTTTGCATTGTTTTAATGTAGCCCATTCTTTGGAGTTGTAAAAATTCTACTGCTAATAATAACTAAAAACTAAAAAAAAGACCAGAAATACAAAGCCTTTTCACTTGGGTTTTTCATAAGGAGGACACAGCACAGCCAGGCTTGAGCTGTTTCCAGCTCAAGAAATAAGAGTGAATAAATAAATAATTAATTGYATCAATTTAGAGTGAGTGCTGTTTATCATCTGTTTAACTTGCATWATAAATGGCTGGTGAAATCATTAGTATTTAGTCTTTGAAGGARCAAGCCTTTGAACCATTCATCTGTTCACAGCTTGAGTTCGGTATTAAGTGCAGCCAATTATTTAATCARATAATTAAGATCACTCAATTATTAATTATAACAGGAGCATTACTTGCTGCAGATTGTAATCCTCCAAGATTCATTGCATGTTTTAGTCCTTCTGAGWGCTGATAATGTCAGAATGACTGTGAACCTCTGCAGCACAGCACACTGTGTACCTCTTTCTGAGTGCTGTTTGGAAATGCCTTCGTGTGAGGAGGTGGTTGTGGGCTTGGTCTGCAGCATTTTCAGTAGGAGTTGGTGACAGCTGAAGCATTTGGCCACAAAACTGTAGCTACAAACCCTTCTCTGGAAAGGCTGAGGCTTGTGAAAGTCTTATCCTTCAGTGCTGGACGTGACTGGGGATGGAGTCGCTGGCAAAGGCGTGGCCAGCAGGACACTGTCCTAGGCTGACATCTGCTCTCAGCACTGKCTGTGCTTCTCTGCAGGCTGTACTTTGTAAAATGAGCAGTCCTGGGCACAGGAACTTGAATCACAAACTATAAAGTGACTTTGGTTTCTTGTCTAGATCAGTTCAATTCCAAGTTTTGAATGTGTCACAGTGTTGGATGAASGATCTGTGTGTCCTTTTTTCTGAAGGAGTTTGGTTGTCTCTGTAAATACCCAGCAGGTTGCTGGGTGGGGTATTTGGGTGTGAGACTTGACCTCTTCTTGCTGAAATCCCTTCAAATGTGCTGTACTAATATTAGGGGTGAAAGGAGATTAGAAATTAAAATGCCTTAGATAGTCAGTATGTTTCTTAGGTTGAAGAAGTTTAYCCAGAAACTTGAGTAAATACTGTAGATCAAAACACTTATAAGGAGATCAAATTCCTGTGGAGTTTTGATGGCTTTATCTAATAGATAATGATAGAAGTAGGTTTGCAGGGTCATTTTGGACAGAGTTKAAGCAGTGTGTGTGTGATTAATGGGGGCAGTAGCACACAGTCTTCATGCCAAGTACAGGTGAGGACAAATGCCACACTGCTCAGACTCTGTGTGTGACCAAAGTCCCTGTGTTTATGGCCTTGCTGTGCTGGCTCTGCAGGCACTGGGGCGTCTCCACTTCTTACCAAAACTGAAAGCAGCTAAGAAATAGAGAACCACTTCTTCTATAAATTAGCAGTGCTTCTTGAAGATCAAGTGAAGCACTTTATGGCAAAGCTTACAACTGATTTCATCCAGTGGCACCAGTTTTGTCTTGAGCACTAAAGCTTAGTCATTACAGCCACTTAAGTGTATAARCCATTTCTAGCCTTTTACATTTGTTAACTCCTGCTGAAAATTCCTCAGAATTCTTGAGTAATGCTTAGGGCTTTTTTTTCATGAAACTGATATAAATCCTCACATTCCAATTGCAGGTACCAAAGCAGTCTGATCCTCTCTGTCAGATGGATAATGCAAATCGTCAAGCTGAAAGCCCAGGTGGAAAGAAGCAAGTCTCTTACAGGACAGAAATTGTTGGTGGTGTTCCCATCATTACACCCACCCAGGTAATACCCTCCAAACAAGTGGGTTGTTATTTGATACATGAAGCTGTATTTTTATATGCACCTTTTATTCATACTGGAGGGTTCTGAGGATGATTTTATTCCCTTTATACAAGATGATAAAGAACTGCTTGAGTACTTCCTTGCTTACACATACCCATTAGTATGCTGAAATAATATTTTTGTCAATGTGAACTTAATTGCTGGTGTTAATGGTGATGAAGTTCTGCCCCTTTAATGGGAAGAAGGTGAAAGGAAGAGTGGGCAAAAAAGTTTGAGAGACTGGATAAGCTTATGGAAGTAGAATTTCTGCAGTGCTAAAGATAGAACTGAATCTGTTGCTGAAAGTTTCCTGAGCTGAAAATAGTTACACATTAGATGAATATCATGTAAGTGGCATGTACACTCCCAAATTGCATTAAAAAGTTGGTAAAATCTGATGTCTCGTAGCCCTAGAAATAATTTTTTTTTTTTTGCTGTAGCCATCTCTAATATTTTGCCTTTAAAATCATTTTACAAGTTTGCACTAAAGTACATGCACGAGTTTAAATCAGAACCATTTCTTTTACTGAGTGTTTGTCAATATTATTTGAGAGTACTCAGCACTTTGATAATTCARTTTCTAAGAGCAGCTGGCAAGTACTCAGCTTGGGAGAATCTTAGTTGTCTGGAAATAAGTTACAATATTTTATTCTTTCAAATTGTACTGGGATTTGTGAGCATGGGATGATACAGTTATTTCCTATTATAACCTGTATAGTTATTCCATTGTGTTTAGAAAAAAACCCAAGAAAGTATTCTGAACTTTCCTGCTTTTTTTTTTCTAGAAAGAAGAAGTCAGTGAGGGCAGTGAAGGGGCTGACAGGAATTATTTGAAGCGGTCACAAAGTCACCTTCCTTATTTTGCTGCTAAGCATCCCCCAGATAATGCCATTATCAAAGCTGGTTACTGTGTAAAACAAGGAGCAGTGGTAAGTATTATCAAAAACAGAAGACAATTACCAGTAATTTCATTACTGCTGACAATAATAAGGATAACTAAAGATAAAACTTAACCTCCAGTAGCACTTAATTTGTATCTGCATTACTTYTCTTCAGTGTGATATTGCTGAAGATAGTTTGGGGAGGTAAAGTGTGGGCACAGACTTCCACATTATGGTCAGTGCCTACAGCTGGGAATTCTGTTCCAAATTCTGTCAAGATCCTTATTTTGTTTATTAAAAACATCTAAATTAGGGCAGGAGTTCATTGCCTGCTTTTTAAATCAGTAAAATGTTTAGAAAAAGCTGATTTTTCAGTTCAGAGGGAGAATTGTRCAGCTTATCATTACCACAAGTAGAACTGTTCACATGATGGCTTGCAAGAATAAGGAGCAGAATAAGCAAGATACACATCTTTGAGTTCTCAGACTTGTTTTATCTTGGATTATGAAGCTTCTTTTTGTGMCATCCCTTTTTTAGTTAAAAATAAACTAGAAACCTGTAATGTATTGTCATTTAATTTTTCCYATGTATATTTCTACTGCTGAGTTTCTACAGTTTGAATAAACCTTATCATAGAAAATAGTAACTTTAAAAATTTTTAATATTTGCAGTTTTCAAAAAAAAATTATTTAATTTGGCAGTCATGCTTATGTTGGAGGCACTAAAGATCCTTGCACACCACACATTAARATGTAACATAATTATTATAAMYWAWKRA